GCTAATGAGTGACAAGACCTAAGGATGGACACATGGAAAATGCTAATCGAAAACATCCTGCGTCGTTAGGCAACAATCGGCGTTCAGCATGTGTCTCGAAGGGGAGTTTAGACGAAAAGGCAGGGTCTGCGTTTCCACAGGTTCAACTGTGTCGTCTGTCGTCCAGTAGCTGCAAGCCTCTTCCGGAATCATCCGCAACAACACTCTTGTCGTCCCTTTCTCTTTTCTACACTGCAGAGTGGGGATTCCGCAGCGGCGATGGCGCGCCACAAATGTTTACACTAAGAAAGAAATTGGCCGAAATCGGCAACAAAAAAAAATGACAGCCTCTTTTTTATTCATTATTCTTCTCATCTTGTTCCTCCTACATTCCCTAGCTTTCAAGGAAAGAAAGTAAAACCACTCACATTTTTTCAACCCACACGCAAAGGAATAATTTGAAACTGACACGGCCATGTAAGATATGTTGGAATATGTCCCCTTCGAAGCCCTAATTCTGGTGGCGTCAGGGCAGAACCATGTTGCGAGACAAACAACGTCAACAGAGCGTGTCTTTGTCCCATTCGTTAGCCGCGTCACTATTGGTACTTCTCGGCCGCCCTGTAATTCTGAGCAAACGCCCCTAGACGTCAAGAGCCTGAAAGACCGAGCACAGGCTGTCGGTGTCTTCCTACTTTCCCCGGATGTAAGGTTACGCCGCAAACAGGTGCGGTCCCAGGCCTCATAACCGTGTCTCCATCGGGGAAAAGGGTTAGCGGACCAGGACCGCCTCTAGATTTCTGAAAGTGACCGGTCAACTCATGCTCTGTTGTTTCAAGATGAGGCCTGGAAACGAACCATTGCGGAGTAACTACGGAAAAGGGCCACAGCGCACGCCAGGGCGAACTTCCTGGCAAAATATGTGCTGACTGTCGAATGGTTCATTCCACGCTCAGGGGAAGTAAATACTACCAAAGCAACCTCGCTATTACCTCACGAAAATTCACCTGCCCCGTTTCGCTGCTTACCGAACCCCCGAAAATTCTTTAAAAGACGAGCAAAAGAAGGGGAAGATGGGGAAGAAAGCGACAGGGCTCAGCCCACGAGAATATGAACGCCTACCGCGGCCAGCCAATTTCAAATCGACAGAGGGTCCAGTCCGCCCTTCGGTCCCCGGTGCCCGGCGGAGTTGAAAGAAACAACACTAACCGTATTACGATGAATGCTGGATGCTGAGGCCCGAATAACAAAAGGGTCACATATACTCCGTAAGATACAAAATGAAAATCGCTCAAGAAGGCCGAGTCCGTCCTTGTCCTGATTTGCCAGAGGAGTAAACGGAGCACGAACAAAAAAGAAATTGAGATACATAAAAGAATAAGAGAGCCACAAAGAGTACGGCGTACATTCCATATCCAAAGCAAACCTCTGGCACGCGAAATATCTCACAAACAGGAGACAATCATCAAAGTGCATTTATTTTGTCTTGCCACTTTCATGCAGTGCAATATAAGCATAGGAAGCATGGGGCCAATTACCGAGGCCATTTGGAAGCCCGAGATGTTGCTCTCAAAGACAGCCCAGTCATAATACGCTCTCTTGTCATGTTGATGCCTCCTCGAAGACCAAGTTCCCTGTTGTGTTGGCAATCCTCGGTACATGAAATGGTCACCGACCGTTCCCGTGCCTTGTATCCGCAATTATGTGTTGCTCTTCAAACGCAAATGCAAAAGGCAATAGACATTGCACACGGTCCAAGCCGGTCAAAAAGAGGGGGAATAACGACAGATGGTACTCGATTGTCAGGGCTGACGAGACGACACAACAATGAAAAACCATCTGTGTAGTTAACTTGGAGCACTCCAGCACTCTTCAGGCAGCTTCGGGGGTCCTTGGTCCCTGTCTCACAGGCTCCTGTGTTGCTCGCAGGTCTGGCCAATCAGCTCTGTAAGCTCTGCCTGCCTCGACCTGGCAGGTTTAGCGCTAAACGCGCGGCTTGTCTCTGTGCACGGACCACTTGCGGGGGGTTAGGTGAGTTGAAGTATCAGAGTGAAGTTGCGCCCCCTGGGCCTGGTCCTTCCTACTGTTCGGTGTTGCCCTGGCGGGCGGTGAGCAAAACAGGCAACCTAAAACGCGCTGGGCATCCAACAACGAACAATTGCCGTTGGGGTCCTGGCATCACGAAAACGCGTATTTGGGCGAACCCCTCGACGACGTCATCCTGTCAGTTTTCTCTGCATCACGTACGTGCCATGGACCCAGGCCCAATGAACACAAGAGTCGCGTTTTCTCTTTGCACCTAGCCTAGTTTCCCGCTCGCACAAGGCTGCGCAAAACTGGCCACGGACAAGGACCACGAGCAAAAGGACGACGAATTGATCATCCCCGGCGCCAGGGAGTCCACATCCCGCCCAAGCTGGTCGTTGCGAACATGGGCTCCTTTGTCCTCGACTTTTCGGCGTACAATGTAAGTCTCCTGGGACGCCTACATCAAAGGTGGTGCACCGTCGACGGCTTTGCTGACTTCTGTTTCTCGTGTAGGCCCTTCTCTCCAGCAACGGCCACAGCACGTCATACTATGGAACTGATGATGCTTACCTCGGCGGTGGAGATCCGGGATTGTCTGTCGCACCGGGGCGTCGGGGCGGCCACCTCAATCACCACCTAAACCAGCATCACCACCAACAACAGCAACAACAGCAGCAGCAGCAGCAACAGCAACAGCAGCAGCAGGGCGGTCCCTACAACCCTGGCCAGAACGCCTATCCCCGTCATCAGATCAGCAACCGCTACATTGTGTATGACCGCAACTCGCTCCCCGGCCTCGAAGCCGAAAAGACGTATCAGGATCGCCGGAAACAACACATTGCCAACTTTGGCTCCACGTGGCTCAAGCCGCCTGGCGTGGCCAAGACACTCTTCCAGATCCGCGAGGAGTGCCGCGAGCAAGAGGAGCAGGCCGAGGCCGAGCGGCGAGAAGAATTAGCGCAGCAGCTCGCACAGGCGGAAGCAGCCGCTCTGGATGGTGGAGACGGCACCGCACTGGAGGACGGCGGGGCGGGTGAAGGTGGCGATCTCACAGGCGACCCTGCTGGGATGACGGAGCTCATGGGTGTCGACGGGGACGATGCCGCGGCCGCTGTCGCTTCCATGGAGGCGGATATGATGGATGAGGATGGCGAGCTGGATCTAGACAACGAGGTCCCCGACGCCGACGCGGAAGACTTCAGCTTTGGTAACAACGATGATGGAGACGACCCGTTTGCCAGCTCTTCTGGCGACGAAGACCACGAAGACGATGAAGACGATGAGGACGACGAGGACGATGGCGGCAACGGCGGCGGGCGGCCCAGGATCCATGTCGAAAACGACAATGGCAACGAGAGCATAGCGGCAGGTTCTGGTGCTAGTGCAGGTATCGCCGACCTGAGCCAGGATGACGCCGAGGCGGATCCGCCCCAGCACTACACACACGGCAGCAGTCAGCAGCAAGCGCGGCAGGGCGTCTACGTGTCTACACCGGCAGCCGCTGCTATGACAGCCGATACACCTGTACGTTCGCTCGAGGAACAGCGTGCGCAGGCACAGGCGCGAGCCGCTGAGCGCCGCGAAATGCGCCAAATGCGCGCTGCGGAAGACCGCATGCGCGCCATGCGTGCCCATCCCCGGCTGTCGGGAGTCGGTTTGAGTATGGGCATGGGTTTGTATGGCGATGAAGACGACCTGGACGAGGAGGACCAGGAACAGATGCTACAGGAGGACGACTTGGTGCGCGAAATGAGCAGCCCTGGTGCTGCCGCGTCGCACCACCGACAACCGCAACAGCAGCGACAGCGCCGCCGCCGCCTGCGCACAGAGGACAATAACAACAACAACAACAACAACAACAACAACAACAACAACAACATTGCGCGCGGCCATGCCAACAGCAGCAGCTTCATCGACGATCACATCCACCAGGACAACGACGCCGGGTTTGAGCAGGACGGCGACGACGGGGGAGTCAGTGGCCTCGAGATGGACATGGATGCGGATCTTGATGGCGACGACAATGGTGCCATGGACCTCAGCGCCTTTGGTGACGGCGGATACGAGCACACCGACACCGAAGCCGAGCTCAGTAGCAGTGTGGTCGGCGGTGGCGACGATGGACATGACGACGGCCACCTGCCGCACCAAAATTTCTTGGCGCTGGCTGGCGCCGCGTCCGGCAGCAGCAGCATGGCCGCTCCTAGATCGAGCGGTGTTGGCATGGGCGGCATGGGGCACGGCCATGGTCACGGCCATATGTCTGGCGTCACTGCGAGCGGCAACCGCCACCGCCAGCAGTACCGCGGTAGCCTGACGCGAAGCGACCGCAACAGCATGGACATTAGCAGTCTCCTGTCGCAGGATGGCAGCAGTACCTTTGGAAGCAGCCCACAAGTACGGCGCCTGTAATTGGTACGTCGACGGCAGGGCGTACGTGTGTGCTTATTTTTTAATTCTATTTTATACGAGCATCATCAAGGAATTATGGAATACCCAGGCGTCTTCACTTCTTCGACATGGTTACAAAATAAAACTAGCAAGAGCAATACAGCATTTCATGAAAAACCATCCCGAGTCTTGACCAAAACTGTTGCGTCTGCATCAAAATAGAAGCGAAGTTTATTAGCACAGTACGATGTATATTCCAGGGGGTCACAATGAGGGATACAGTAACCCGAGAGCAGGCTTGAAATTCAGAACAAGCGCCTCCAGGACCCAGCCCATATACATTTAAAGAGCAAGGCGAGGGCGAGAACAAACCCATATATCCCGTTCCCTTTGCTGTTCCAGATAAAACAAAAATGAAATAAAAAAACAAGTAAACGCCGTTTCTAATGCAGGAAAGATTCCAATAGAAAAAGCAACATTTTTCACCTCGCCCTCTCCCGAAGATGCCACTCTCAATCCCTGTGTCTGTTTCCGTCTTGTGTTGTTTGACGGTAGCGTGGCGATAAAAGTTTTTGTCGTCGTGATAAAGAATAGACTCCCTCTTAGAACAGCCACACGTAGGTGAACAGAAGGCCAACGAAGAAAAAGAAGCCAAGCCAAATGCGCCAGCTAATACCGGTGCGCTCAGCCATTACTAGCATGCGGTTCATCGTTCCGCGCAGGCGCACGCGTGTTGCATCGAATGTGTCGTTCATCTTCTCGGCGAGTGCCGACGATTCGCGAATCTCTTCCCCAATGGCGACGGTCATCTAGTCCTATGTCAGCAAACCCGTTCCCGCGGTAGATGAGGACCATACGCAGTGTCAACGTACATCTTTTAATACGCGAACCTTGCCAAGGATACCCTCGATTTGGGAGTCGTTTTGGCTCTCGAGCTCGTTCAGTACGGCATCGCTGTACTGGCCTCGCTTATTTGGTGTTGCCGACCGGTAGCCGCCGTTTTGCGGTGCCAGGCCATTGCCGTTGCCATTGCCACCCGGATAGCCGTAGCCATAGCCAGAAGGGCTGCCTCCTGGTGTGCCAAAGCGACTCGGGCTTGCGTTCATGTTGCGTCGGTTGGCGCTGGCGTCGGCACCGGGGCCCGTGTAACCCTCAAAGAGGGCACTGCGCGGGTCGCGCTGGTGCAAATTTGAGCTGCCAAACCTGGAGGAGGGCAGATGTTAGCAGGAACAGCTCAGAGAGTGAGAGTGAGAGTGAGAGCAAGCGACCAGGGCTTCAACACATCAGTGAGACGGTCGAGGCGGACGTAGAAGCGGCACAAAAGGTTGCGGAGTGTTCGGTATTGGGAGTGGCGTGGCGTATATTCGATACGTAACCTCGTCGCACATTACTGGGTTGTAAAGTCCATCACCGATGGGCGTCGAGGGCGAGATCGAAAGGTTGGGACGACAGTGACGTCGCTGCAGGTGTCGCGTGTCGCATTGTCGGTGTCGCAAAATAATTCTGTCGATCCGAATAGATCCAATAGCGGCACAACTGTGGTCTTTGTAGGGCCAGCTATTTGTAAAATCGTAGGAATATGATGCTTCGCATCGCGTCGCGGCGTACCCGGTTATCGTCGAGTCCGAAAGCGGCCACGGTGGCTCATTGTTGTTGGCGACATCTCGGGAATGGTGTTTCTTCTGCCATTTTCCTTGCCAAGCTCGGCGCTTCTTTCTGCCGCTGGTTGCCGCTTCACCGCTGGTGACTCTGGAAGACGAGCACAAGAATAAGATGCTTACCTAGATGATGCCATCTTGGCGGCTGTAAGTGTGTGGGAGGTGTTTTTTGTTGGAGAGAACAGGTAGAAGAGCGAAAGGAAAAGAATGAAAAAGGAGAAGAGGCAAAAGCGATCTAGATCTGTAAAGGGGGGTGACAGGTGTCGTCAAAAGGAAGGATGGGTCAGTTGCACCTGCCGCTCGTTAGTATCAGGTACTTCAGTGGCGGTAATGGTTCGCCAGGAAGGAGTGTAATTTGGAGAAAACGGAAGGCGTCACCAATGACCGACAGCTGTGGTGGGGAGGATCTGCACCGGAACAAGTGACTCCATAGGTGGCGCTATCTGCCTGTGGTTCTTTTTGTTAGTGCTCTAACATTAGGCGTGGGTTGTACTTCGTAGTGCCTTTCCCCCTGAACAGGAGCAAATTAAGCAATTACTCAGGTCTATCAAGTTATTCTTATACTGCCTTTTAGTGGTTCGTTACGAGGCAAAGAGCATCCAAGAATTATTAGGGTCATTTACAAAATCTTTCCAAGCCACTAAATCGGTTATTGTGAAGCCATTACGACTTAGAATTGAAGGTTTTAAGCTTCAACAACCCGGCGCCCCCGCAACTATCACCTCTGCATTCACCGCAGACAACGGTCAGATCCATCTTTCTCAGCCGAGATGCTATGGATTTGTTTTGCATTTTCTCTCAAAAGACTTGCGTGCAGCTCAGAAAAGGGGCTGCGAATTGTCGGATGTTCTTTTGAAGACCCAAATATAATCTGCAATAGTGACAACAGCCCGGCAGGCGTCTCGCGCTCTACAAAACACAGGGTGATTACGGAGTACAAGAAAGAGCAATACAAGACAACCACGCAGAGCTCGATATTGTCGGAGCAGGGGCTGCACTGCCGTAGCAGCCACAATGGCTTTGTCCGTTGACGCACGTGCCCCTGGCGCACAACAATCATCCACAAAAGTCAACAAACCAGTCGCACAGCGTACCAGCATAGGATCGAAATCAAGCTACGGGGACCCCGAAGCAACTGTAATAGGTGTTCACCGACGAACATATCAGTGTATTGGTCGTTGGGCTACCTGTCCACGATGCCAGAACTCCCTCACCGCCCATGTTTTCCTGTATGTAAATAAATGTATATGGCTGTCCTTTTTTGCAGATGTGTATTCCAGTTGTGAGAGCTGGTGGCCCTCGTCCCGAGGTCCAGCATACTGTTCGATCGCCCCTTGTCCATTCGCCTCCCTTTGGCGTTCCCTTGCACGTTTCGTATCATGCTTCGTTATCCTCCTTGCTGTCGTGAATATGGCCCAGAGGTTACGGACCAAGCTGTCGCTTCTTCGGGCGCCGCTTAGTCCTCGTCCATGTCGTCCGGCTCCTCAAAGTCGCCGTCGTCCTCTTCGTCCTCGTCCTCCTCGACCGGGTTCTCTGCTGCAGCCTTGGCATAGTCAATGACCACACCGCGCGTGCGGCGACCGATCACGTTGTCAAGGTCGATGACCTGGTTTGCGTCCTCGTCGTCTGATCAGAATCACTGCTGTTAGCTTCGTCTTTTCCGATGGAAGTAGTCTACAACAACAAAAAAAAGCAAGGAAGTATCACCGGGTTCTCACCTTCGTCGTCGACCTAAAGTAGTAAAAAAATGGTTAGCATAGTCCAGCAGCGTAACGAGACGGTGTGAATAGATCGGAGGGGAAAACGCGAGGAACATACGTCAGCAGCCTCCTCCTCCTCCTCATCGTCATCCTCGTCATCATCTTCGTCCTCGTCCTCGTCGTGGACGTCCTTCATGTCGTCGTCCTCGGCCGCAGGGGCCTTGCCCTTGCCCTTGAAGTCTGTGGGATCCGTCACCGCCTGGGCGCCTGCGCCAATGGTGGGGTCCTGAACGCCGTTGCCGTTGGTCGCCATTGTCAATAATAGCAAAGGTTGGACTGGCTCAAATTGTTTTGTAGGAGATAGCGGAGAGAGAAGAGGAAGTTGCAATGGTGTGATTGGCAACAAAAGAGGTGTGGAGAGATGAGAAAAGGGAAAGTGCAGGTGCAATTAGTGTTGTTTGGGAAGGAAGCTTTGTCGCATTTATTTATTCCAAAGGGAAACTACAACCAAGGCGGGACGACATGGAGCAACCGAGGGGAGCTGTGAATTTTGTTTGTGGGGCCGGCCAGGCTGCCTGTCCTCGGGGAAACCGCGCCCCTTGCGTGCGCATTTGGAGACAGGGAAGAGGGGACACAGGAGGATAAGCACTACGCTAATCCGTATTAGTCACGTACATTGTTTTTAAGAATAATGCCGTACTGGATACATGCATACTAGCCATTGGGATCCTCACTCTGCCCTCACTCTCGCGCCACAATGTCTACCAGGTCGTTACAGTGTACAGAGAAGGTAAACAAGAGCTTGGGGGTCGTTCACATTACCGCCGGTAATAAGAGTGCGTGTGTACGTCGGACAATGTGCAAATTAAAGAAGATAAACAAAAAACGCTGGTCTAATTGTACACAAATCAAATATGCACGCCACCCCAACTGTGCTTCTTGTACCTGCTCCAAAAGGGTCGTGCTCTTCCGGTCATCCCCTTCTACAACGTCCTCGTGAATGTCCAGAAGTGTGAAATTTGTCTCACGTCCTCGTTGATCGGAAAACGATAGCAAACTGGCCTCAGGAAAGACCGGGCAGAAACACCGTCAGGTTACTCAGACTGCCACTGCCCGCAGTAGAGCGTGGCAATTCATGGCGTGCGCACGCCATTCCTTTTCGCTTCCATGCAAGACGAGTGTCGCTTATTTCGACTCCTCGCCACCGCCGCCGGACGTGACGGCCAGCACGACAGCTGTGCCAATGACCCACCAGTATCTATCGTCATGTTAGCTTCTGGACAAAGAAAAAAGACCAAAATACAAGAGTGGGGGAGAATAGAAAAGCAGCATACTTTTGCAAAAACGTCTTCTCTTCTGCGGGCTCCGCCTTCTTGCCCTCGGTGCTCAGCACCACGGGCCGGTTCAGCACAGGCGTCGCGCCCTTGCCCGCCACCACCACCGTCGCCTGCGGGCCAAAGTCGCGCGTCGCGCCGGCATCAATGGCCAGGCCGCGCACGCTGACACCTAGATAGGACCACGCCGGCAACGATGGTGGCGATGACGACGACGACGAGGTAAGCTCGGCAGGGGCCGCAACCGTCAGGACAAAATGTGGGCTGTAGCCCTTGGCAAAGTTGCTGGCGGCCGCGACGGAGGTACCGGCGAGCCACTGCTTGGTCTTGGGGTCGTAGAGCCCGACGCGGTAGAGGCGTCCTGCGTCGTCCTGGGCGTCGGCACCGTCATCGGCACCGTCCTCGGGTGGCTCGTAGGCCACGACCTCGGCCGTGGATGGGTCGTGGACGTCATAGCGGATCTCGGCGAGCAGCGCGGGCGCGTGCGGTTTTGAAGCGGTCGCGGCGGCGCCGACGGGATGAATGTAAACAGACGCAGCGCGAACGTTGTTGGGATCGCTGTCCTGGAGGCCGCCGGCCGCAAAGACAGACCCAGAGAGGGCGCCGCCGGCGAGGACGCAGGACAGGAGGGAGGTGACCTTCATGATTTCGAATGGGTGGTCGTCGGGGAACGGGATCGGCAGGCGGCAGAGCGTGCAGCAACTGAAAAGACGAGGATCGGCGTTCGACGGTCTCCGATGCCGTGTTTGTCGAGAGACGATGCAGAATGGCCGTGTCGCAGAAGGTGGTTGCGCAGACAGAAGAAAGGAGGAGGCCAGTCGAGACTCGGACAGAGTGCAATTGCGCAAAAGGGTGAAGCTCCAATTAGGCGCTAAAGTGACACATGACATTCAGCATGGTGGAAGGCTGCTGACGCCAACGTAGTGGGTATCAGCCCGCTGAAAAGCCACTTTTTGGCTGTTATAGGCCTCTTAACAAGGGATAAGATGCTGTGCTTGCGATCAGATATTACACCATATGTCGTACATATGTTCTTCCCTCGACACGAGTCAATGCTCTGACTAAACAGTCGCACTGCTCACTTTTATCAATGAATAAATTAACATTTTTGATACTTGATACTACTCTTTTATGAATCCACGCCTCTAAACCCGAAAATAACATTTAAATATATAAGCAGAGCAAACAATTGGCAAGAAATGCAACGGTGAGAAGAAAATATCAAATGCTTCCCATCCAAAACCCGCTCTAACATCAATCGTTTGTTCTTCGACGCTACATTGTACTGCTTTGTCGAGCAGTGCATTATCCCGTGTACTATGCACCATTGCGTGCGGGAGGTTTGGCAAACGTTCTGATCCTACCACAATGTCTGTGTGGAACGCCTGGGAACGTCTAGTCTAGTTTCATACTCAGCTCATGGTATTAATGATCCAATGGAGTCGTTTGTCCTCTAGCCACATTCCATGATCTTGGAAGATGGCAGTGAATCGGCATTAGGGGGTGAGCGTGAGGTAAAGGAGGAGCGGAAGGTCATATATGGCCATCCCCCCCCCTTTTTCCTTCGTCGGCGGAGGGCGCAATGAGCTCAATATGTGGCTCTTTCTTGCGCACTGTTCTAAATTTAACGACTCGTTTGCCTTGTCAGTCCAGAAACGACAAGGTCTTCGCCGATCAGCGTGGTGCTGCTCTGTCTGTTGTGACCAGTCAAGTGTGGCGCGGCACTGCCGGTGGCCGGGTCGTCGTTGCCGTTGCCGTTTTCGTCGTCGGCGGCGGCATTATCGTCATCGATCATCTCGTGCTCGTGTCGCGAGGGGGTGTGGTCGGACGGCAGCGCATAGCCGGGGCAGCGCTCGACGAGCGGGCGATAGTAGGCGGCGAGCACTTCGGGGTTGGGGACAATCTTCCACTCGAGACGATACAGGAACTCGAGCTCCAGCATCTTCAGCTCGGCGACCCGCACACCGCCCACGCGCGCATAGGTCGAGTTGTTCCAGAACGAGTCGGAAAGGCCCTTTGCAGCCACTGTCGCCGCCGTTATAAGGAAACGATGGACTGTCAGGGTGTTGATCGTAAAGTCTGGGTACATTGCACAGAGACGGTCGATGTAGTACACCATGGACAAAAGGAGAGGGGGAATAAGTGTGGCATGTTTTGCGAGGCGGTGCAGGTAGTCCAGCACGGAGATTCCAGGAGGCGTCCTACAGAGAAAGAACGTGTTAGAAGAGTCGCCATCTTGTGGACGCGGATGGAGAGAGACACAGGGAAAGCTCCTACCTGGAGTGGAAGCGCGTGAGATGGCCCGACTTGAGTGCCAAGGCATCGTTCGTCTCGATAAGCTCGCCAAGCATGTTGGCAATTAACACAACCATGTCTTCGACAGGACATTGGTCGTACTGCTCCGGGAGCATTTTGACTGGCGCGGCTTCAGGTCGAGCCCGTTTTGCAGCAGTTGGTGGGCTGTCGGCGACGGAAGGTGATGGGAGACGACCAGTGCGGGTCGGAGGAGCCGGTGAGCTCCGGCGTTTCTGAGGAGAGGTTGTGTATGGCTGCTGTGACGGGGCAGAAGACGAGGCGCTAGGCGGATCCGCCACAGACGACGCAGCGGCTGTATGGTCGCTCGATAGGGATGGTGGGATGGATGCCGAAGTGGACGAGGTGGCCGATGCTGGCCCCGACACGGGAGCAGGCACAGTGGTCGATGCAGTTACCGGCTGCGCCGTTGCCGGGGCGCCGGGGGCGGGCCGGCCATTGTTCGTATGACGCGCGCCATTGGTCACCGCAGCCGCACTGGCGGCGGCGTGGTCGACACCCTGCTCGATACCGGGCTCCATGGGCACCGGTCCAGGTATGCGTGGTATCTCACGCGGTGTGGACTGTTTTGAGGGAGGCTGCGAGGAGGATGACGACGGGTCAAGAGCATGCGATGAAAGAGGAGGAGGAGGAGGAGCAGCGGCGGCGGCGGCGGCGGCGGCGGCGGTGGTAGAGGAATGTAGGACGGAGGACGGAGGTTGTTGATGGCGGTGCGTGGTGTTATAGTCAAAGGGCTCCATGGGCGAGTACTGGGTAGCGGCGTCTACAGCCACATATCGTGGCGGTGAACGCGACAACGGAGGAGCTTGGTGATGAGGTCTGGCGAGCGGAGCGGCCAGGGGAGTCGGAGGGTGGGAGAACGCGAATGACGGTGCGTGGGAGAGCGCAGGTGATGACGGAGCGCTGGTGCTGGCGCGGTCACTGAGGCTGGTGTTGGAGGAGGCAGCGTTTGACAGCAACGACGCAGATGCGCCGTTCACGAGCGGCGACGAAGAAGAAGACGGCCGCCGGGCTGCAGAGGCGGCCGCGGCAGTAGGTGCTGCAACGGCCGAGTTCCGGGGAGATGAGTGGCCGGGCGATGGGTGCGAGGGCGCATAGTGGAAGCCGTGTATGATGGGGGACGCATTGGCCGATCGAGTCAACATGACGTGCGGAAGGTCATGGCCTCGTCTGTTGAGAAGAGAGGGGGGGGTGGGAGAGGAGGGAGAGATGAGACGGGTAACGATGTCTTGTTTTGGATTTCTCCTTTTGCAGTGACTGCTCCGTATTTTTCTTGAGCTTTTGGTTTTTTCGGCTTAGCCACCGGTCTTCTTGCCTTGGTTGCGTTTTGCAGCAGTCGCAAAAGGCGTGTGTCTCACTCTTTCCCTATCTAGCACTGGCGCCCAGAAATGCGGCCTTTGTCCGCGGACCTTTGTGGGCGGACAGGAAAGAGGTGAGGAGAGATTGGCGAGGAAGGCGACAGTGAGCAGCGAGGACACGAAATAACGCCCCTAGCAGGGTGGAATCGCGGCTAGTCAGTGGAGAAATAGGCCTGGCCGGCGCTACTGACGAGGAGTGCTGCACAAGCGGCGCAGGCACTGTTCGTTTTCTTTTCTGGTGGTTGATCGGGAAAGAACGAGGCAGCGCCACGTGATGACGATGAGCAGACGGAACGTTGGTCGATCTTTTCGAGTCGTCAACGTCAACAAAGGGTTGAGAAGAAACGAGAATCGCTGCACTGGAAGATGATATATGGCGTGGTGTAACGGCGGGGAAATCGCCCCTGGGAAAAGCTCCCCTTTCCGGCTGTGTCTTTGCTTTTGCGTCGGATCAAGCACCCGCTAGGATGGAGGATGGAGGTAAGATAAGTAAGAAAAGTATGTACTTTCCTGGTGGCTGGGCCGCCAGACTTTAATGTGAGCTTGAAAGCGGCAGGTGCAGCCCGCATCCACACCAATGCCAAGAGCATGGGAAATGGCAAGGCGCCTGTCGCCATGCAAGGCTCCATCGCAAAACGACTACTAAAAAAGTGGGCTTCTAAGGGCGATGTTGTCCGTTGCCTCCTCTGGACAGACGACCAGCGACATCGCTCCGGGCCCAATTAACTGTGCCTGCCCGACGGTCGGGTCGCTGCCTCGCATTAGAAAGGAACAAGAGGGTGTCGAGGGTGTCGAGGGTGTGCAACAAAGGAGGAAAAGAAAAAGAAGGCAAATTAAACGACAACAAACCCCAGATGTTGGCCACACTGTTCCCCCTGCAGGTCAGAGCCGCCACTTCTGAGCACATGGCCTTGCGATCATCATGTCCTGGAAAGTCCCGACGGTCGAGGCCAGCTTGGCCGCCACAGCCAAGAAGGGTCTGGAGAATGGTTGATACGTCGTGTTCTCCTACGTGTTGAACGTCCCCCTAACTCTATTTCCTCACCGAGCCGAACCCCTCCCCCAGTGCAAGTTCTCTTTGTGTTAGTGGCCTGGTTCAGACCCGCAGGGAAGTGCCGTTTACGGCAGCCGGGGCAAGGGCAACGAAAGCCGGCCTGTCATAAAGCAACAAACTGTACGATTTATCTTGTATCTTATTGCATATGCACTTTTGGTCCAAATAACACGGCGACCAAACGGTCATAGCAAGTACGGAGCATCAGCGAATTGGATACGACAAGCAGAGGCACCCGTCGCACTCCACAGTCCATACACAATTTTGTGCCTGAGCGACCGACGACGAAAAGAAACAGAAGCAGGTCAGCTGCCCGCAGAGATTTCTCCCAAATGCCGACCGCATGCGTTCCACGTTGCGATGCTGACACTCGGTCCTTCGCTACACTCGCAGGAGAAAGCAGCACTGACAATGTCTGCTTTTATGGCAGAGGCTCGAGGGTAACTAATGAAAGCATAAAGAGAACGGACAATTGCATTCTAGGTGTCCGAGTCCTCGATGAGAAGGTCCAGGAAACCGACAAATGAACGTTCACGGATTGGGGGCGTGGCCACTCCTTGCGTACAGTCGCATTGAGCAGCTCGTGGGTACGGGCACAGCGGCGGTCAATATGTGTTATCTGCAAGCACCTTGCCCTACACGGATCGACCTTGAATGCACTTTTGGAAGAATTCGATTGCTAAAAACGAGATTGCCATTGAGGACTTGCACGTGACAAGCACGTTTTTCACGTTGATTACGTGATTTATCAAGCCACACGTTAAGTGGCTGGTGCAAGTTGTGGAGTACGAGTGTCTCCACTGCAATGTACTCCTTAGAGTCGGTGCGCCCTGGGCCCCTGTCCTACCAACCAACTGCACGCGATCGTCAAGGCTACCAACTTCCATCAACGTCGGTCACAGCGCTCGGCCGTCATCAACGCCTCTCGCGTCGAAAGCAGTCCTCTGACTGATGACTTGATTCTTTCGTGGCTCCAAAAGAACGTGCAGCTCAGCAGACACCACCCACCAGCTCTTGCATCATCGTCAGCTCATTCCCTTTGACGACATCCAGCGACGACCACTGCGTTTTTCGCAAACAGCCATACGAGATCCGCATCTCCAGCATCCCCAGTACCATCGACACTACAAGCTCGACCATCCTTCAACCTTGCAGGCGTCCATTGAGGTGGATCGACGGCCCGGACGGCGCTCAGGAGCTCGCATAAGACGCTTTCTGACAAACGCCACACTACCGCGACAGCTTTAAAGCATCCGACATAGGCAGCCCGGTGCAGGGCGGCGCATACCACTCGACCGGCCCACCAGAGGCACCGCCGTCGAGATGGTGCTCCTCTCGCAGAATGTTGCCATTCTCGAGAGCCTGCGGACGGCTCGGTCCTACACAGAACAGACCGAGGCCCTGCAGGCGCTGAAGAACGAGACCGTCGGCCATGTCATGAAAAAGGAGAAGTGGGTGGAACTCGGCGTGCTCCGGCCGATTGTCAAAGTCATCCTGCCGGAGCGGCCGGCGAATTGGGCTGTGGGCGATGGCCAGGATGCCTCCCGGTCAGGGAGCTCGCACAGTCGGCGACCGTCCTCCGTCACGCCGCCCGACAACCTCCCGGCAGACGACCTGGCACGTCTCCAGGCGCTCGAGCTGCTGGGCATCTTTGCAAGCGGTAGGTCCTGTCGGCATGCCGTAATGTTCTGCTGTGCTGTGTCAATAACGAGCTGTTCATGTACTGACAACGCGGCCAGGTGGTGCCGCTTTCCTTGAACCTCTCCACGCCGCCGGCGCTCTTCCGGCCATACTCTCCTGCTTCGACCCCAACACCACCCACCCCCGCCTCGTCTACGCCGCCCTGCGGTCCCTTGTCACCATAACAAAGGCGGCGCGGCTCATCAGTGTCCCTGCGTCGGCGCCGTCACCCGTCACCATCGGCTCCCTCGCCGACACCATCCTGGCTGCTCCCCACCTCCAGGCCTTCTACAACATCATCGTCGCGGCGCCTCGTGCGTGGTGGACCGAGTCCATCACCAACGCAGCCGTGTCGCTCATCAGCCCGCTCTGCCGCGAGACCCGCCACCAATTGGCACTGGCCAAGGCCGGCGTCCTGGATGCGCTCGCCGTCAAGGTGGCCAGCTTCGTCGTGGCAAAAGGCCAGGTTGTCCCCGGCGCCGAGATCGCCGCCGAAAAGGAAGGCCTACGTGATGCAATCCCGGAGCCGGCCACGCCCCGTCTCGACATCAGCGCCGTCCTCGATGCGGTGGCTGCCATCGTGGGCGACTCGCGCCTCCGCGCGTACATGCTGCTGTGTGCGCCGCCGATTCTGGCCATTTTCCCGCAGCTCGCGTTCGACAGCCCCGTCAACGACGTCCACGCTGCGTGGAAGGCCCTTAGCATGGGCGGCCTGAGCACCTCGGACCAGCAGATGCTGGGCGCACTCGACTTCCTCCTCCCCGCCATTCCCTCGCAGCTGCCGCGTGGCCACCATCTCTCCTCCCACAACTCACCGTTTCCGCCCCTCGGCTCCACATTCTCCCGCCAGACGTCTTCTACCGACAGCGGTGGTGCTAAACGCAGCGCCGGCTCCCGGCACCCGCCGGGTTCAGGCCCAGAAGGGGGCCTCGGCGCTTTGGAGGGCTACGGCAACGAGGAGCAGGAGAGCCCCATGGTGCCCTGGCTGATCAGCCTGGTTCGCTCCACATCCGGCCTGGAGCGGCTGATGGCGGCGTCGGTCCTTACATCCCTGTACAAGGCCGGGTTCGCCAGCGCGACGCGCGAGTCGGCCATGGCTCTGCTCGTCGTCCCTCTGCTGCTTCGGATGCTCGACGAGGCGGTCAACTCTGCATCCGCCGGCACGTCCGGTAACGGCGGCGGCGGCCTCTCGTCGGGCGGCTGGGTGGGCGATGACGACAGCAACAAGACGGAGCACCAGGCGATCACCGAAGCAGCCCTTACGGTCCTGGCGCGGCTTGTCGCTAACAGCGATGTGCTCCAAAAGGCCGCCATCGACGGCAATGCTATTAAGATCCTAGCACGGCTCCTCAAAGAGTCTTACGAGCCCGTGTCAACTAGGTCCAACCCGCGGCCGTGGAACCCGACACCGACCGCCTCTGCCAATCCCAGCCGAACAGGGACGCCGGTCGCAGGCACTCACAGCCAGAACCGTGTTGGCGGCAACGGCGGCGGCGGCGACGGCAGCGGCGCGCATTTTGTGGACGACAGCGGAGCCGCTGCTGGCAATGACCCAGACGGCTGGGCCATGCATGTTGCGTCGAGCAAGCTGGGCCCCGCGGGCCAGAGCAGCCAGCTCGCGTACCGGATACGACTCCGCGAGGCGACCCTCAAGGCGCTGACGGCGCTTGTGGCGGTCAAGTACGATTATCAAAAGGCGTTTGTGGATCAGGACGTCATGGTCTATGTTGTGGCGTCCCTGAACGCGACGCCGTCCAAACCCCGCGCCAACAAGGACCGGACACGGTCAATCAAGGACATGGAACTGAACAGCAGCGGAACGGCCGACGACGACAATCTGGACCCAGAGTACGGGCGCAACCCCGTTGGCGTGCTGGTTGCGGCGTGCAATCTGGTGCGCATGCTGTCGCGGTCGATTGCGATCCTGCGGACGACGCTGGAGGACGCCGGCGTGGCGGCGCCCATTTTCCGGCTGCTACGGCATCCAGACATTGACGTGCAGGTTGCCGTGACAGGCGTCATGTGCAATCTCCTGACAGAAACCAGTCCAATGCGCGAGGTATGTGCCTGCCTTTCTCTCCACTCTCTACGTCCTACCTGTACATCGTTCCCCAGCCCACATTGCTAACCAAAAACACAAAACATACAGCGCTACGCCGAGGTCGGTGTCATGAACATTCTCTGCACACACACCCACTCGCTCAACTCGCCGCTGCGACTGAACGCGCTCTGGGCGCTCAAGCACTTTGTGGATGGCCTGGAGCCGAGCGTGAAGAAGGCCTGTCTCGAGCAGCTGGGGTCGGGATGGCTCATGCAGCTTATCGACCCGGACTCGGAGGTGGACACTTCGCCGTCGTCTGTGTTTTTCTCAGGACGTGCCGACACCAGCTACGGCCGGGCCAGTGGTGGCATGGCCGCCGCTGTGGCAACACCGTCGTGGTCGTTTTCGACCGCGGCCAACGACGAAGACGTTGAGATGGACCAGACCGGCGACGAGCACGAGGACAGCGCGGGCGCGAGCAACAACGCCGGCGGCGATGACGCCGACGTCGACACCGACTCCTCGTGGACGGCGACGGCGACAACCAACCAACACCAACCACCCGCCAATGCAATTCTGGGCTCGCCCTCGTTCCTGCGGGCCCGGTTCCCGACGACCAGCCACGAGCGGAGCCGCACCGGGCGCCTACGGCAGGCCGAGGCCAAGCTGGCGGCGCTGCAGGAAATGGAGCTGGCTGCTTTGCGGAAGAGCCAAAACGACGACGTGGTGATTCAGGAGCAGGGGCTCAACTTTATCCGCAACCTGATCGGGCCTGGGTCCTTCTCGAACGGCTCCGGCGCCGGTCCGGGGTCGTCGCTGCGACTGGGCCAGCCGGCCTCGGCCGCGCCGCGCGACGCCATAAGCGAGGCCTCGGAGATGATTGACTACCTGTTTAGCGAGATTGGCCAGGACCGGCTGTTCCAAATTCTGCTATCCAAGGTCCGGCCGCGGGCGCGCCCGGCGACCTCGTCCCGACTGTCCGCCGCACGACGGCGTCCGACGGCCGGCAGCGCCGCCCTTTCCAGTGGCTCAGGCAATGGCGCTTCCTCTGCGGCAGCCGCAGGTGCTGCGCCCGGCTCTCCACCGTCCGAATCGGCTGCCGGCACCGGCACCGGCGCCCGCGTTCAACAGCCGCGGGCCAAGATTGTCGAGGCGGTCGTGTTCATCCTTGTGCACATATCCGCCAGCGTGCCGCGGCACCGGCAAGTGGTGATTGCGCAGACGGAGCTGCTCAAGGCGCTCGTCGGCCAGTTTATGAACCGGGACAAGGGCGTGCGCGTGGCGCTGTGCCACCTCGTGACCAACCTGACCTGGCGTGACGACCAGGCCGACACGCATCTGGCAAACGTGCGCACCCTCGAGATTAAGCGACTCGGCCTGCTGGCGCAGCTGGAGGCGATGCAGTTTGAGGACCCGGAGCTCGACGTGCGGGAGCAGGCCAAGATGGCTGTGCACCAAATGGCGCCAATGACCGTCTAGGGTACAAGGAAACGGCTATCCCATGTGCTTCGATTGCGTCGTTCCCACCACTGCGAGGCTACGTTTTGGCTTTTTGGCTTTTTGGCTTTTTGGCTTTTAGGCTTTTTGGATAGGACACCACATGTTTGTGTGCAGACCAGGCGACGTGCTCTTGATATCGCATTATAGCAATTCCGCGTGGCCCGTCCAAGAACCCGCCAAGCTGATCGTCACAGCTGAGAAGACGCTTTTTCTTTTACAGAAAAAGGTCGTTTATAGGGCGTTTCTTGTATACTGTGTACATTTTTTGGAGTGTTCTCTGCTCTCTGCGTGCTGTATGGCTACTAGGGCGGAAGGCGCTACGATGTAAAAAAAGAGATGATTCAATAAAAGCGTGCATGTTCCCACGGTTGATATTATTTGCTACCCTGTATTGTGTCGTTGAGATGCAAGGAGGAGGGTACAAAAACGAAAATGAGTGGCTCGGCGCGTATACTTGGTCAAGTGACGTCTTTTTCTGCTCGGAAGTGACGGGAGACGTAAGGTGTTGGGCTTCTGGCGATCATGTGAATCACGCCACACGAAACACCAGTGGGCTTCCAGAGAGGACGAACACAATGTTGACACTGGCACGGAGAAGGGGGATAACTTTTACAAATTCTGTTGTGATTTGTAGATCGCTTTTTTTTCTTTTTTTTTTTTTTTTTTTTTTTTTTTTTTTTTTTTTTTTTTTTTTTTTTTCCTTTTTCTTCCCCTCCCTTTCTTCCTCGCTCTTGTGGTCCGTCTTACAAGCTCCTGCGATGCATGTCACCCTCAACAGAAGTCTGTATTACTCACAATGGAACATCGGTACAACGGGAGCTCTATTCTGTACATCGGCCAGTGCTCCGTAGCTGGTTTGAAAAGCAATCAAAGCTCACAGCAACATGCTGTTGCACCTTTTCCTTTATTTGCATTCATTTGAGCTCCTTGTTTGTACACCTGTTGCTTCGCATGTGGACATGCTGAGACTTTTTATACTTTCTGTCGGGAGTTCTGGATTCCTGTTGGACGACTCAGTATGTTCTTTGGTTCGTTTCAATACCTTTCTTTTGTTTCCTGTTTCTCTTCCTTTTCCTCTTTTCGTCTTTTTTCTCTTTTTCGTCTTATCCCTATTTTTCTCTTTTGTTCCGTCCACCCTCCGAAGAAAAAAGTACAGCTTGTCGATCCTATAGCACTTTCATTGTCGTCTGATCACATCCCTTCGTACTTTCGAGGACGCGGTTGGTTCCGAGGATTCAAAACCCGAAAAAGATAAAAACGAAACGGTTTGTCGAGGCAAAGTATGTAGATGCGCAAAGTGGGTCCACCCAGCTCGCTGTAGGGGCGCTCCTTCTCTCGCTTCCTGAGGTAGGTCTACTGGTGGTGGTGTGGGGCCGCCGGCAGAGGTGTAGGGGACCTAGGGGATTGCACACAATTGACGCCAGGAAGGGAAAGAACGAAGGGACGGCAAGTGGCGGAACCGCATGTCAGCGATAGAAGGTAGAAGAAAAGGGCGAAAGAAGGAGAAGACGGCCATCATCAGCCACGGAATCTCTGAACAGCCATCCCGGTATTGTTCGCTGTTTGCATTGCAGACTCGCAAGCTTTGTCGACCAGGCCTGCGATTCCGGCTGTTCCGGAGGGATCGTTTGCTCTTGTCCTGCATGCCTCTGGCACCGATCTGCGGCAGAACGCGTGAAACAGAGGCAAGAACATAAAGAATACAAGAACAAAAAAAGAAAAACAGCTGGGAAAGCGGGATATGAAAAGTAAGCAGACCAAGAGGCCACAAAAAACGCAAACGGTCACAAGCACCCTCCACCACCCATCCTTTCCATGCAGACAGGCCGATCGTCGAATTGGATGGCACAAGCATCTTTGCAATGCAACCACAGCACGGCAAATGCCAGAGGAGCCGTGGCCCTGTCCGCCTCCGTTAACAATCACCATCTGCAAATGCCAAGCCAGGGCTGTCGATCGCTCACATATCACATATGGTGCCACTGAAGACGGGTCTTGGGTCTTGCTCAAGAGTGGACTCGGACCTGACGACATACAAGAGACTATACTTCACACCACCCATCGCATCGTGCATCACAAATAAAACAAAAACATCACAATCAAAAGACATACTACTCAGAAGACTAGCCAGTCCTGCATTTTCTTGCTCTGTTGTATGACAACCACGTGTACACTCGGTAGTGGGAAGGTAGAGAAACCACCGGCTCCATGGCCGTTGGAGCCCGTCTGTTGGTCGTGCCGTACAGCTTGTTGTTCATCCCTGTGCATCGACTGCCAACCGTTCTGGCGCCCAACATGCAAGACATGAGAAGAAACAAGGGGCCCATCGGAACGCACAATGCTCGGTTGAGCCTAGTCCACCCACAGTGATGTCACATCTCGTGATGGATTTGTGGAGAGGAGGGGGGCGGGTGGTGTGACGAGGACCGGCGACACAGGAAGAAACAGACAGGACAAACAAACAAGAATGTGGGATGCTCCGGTTTCCAAGAAGCCCACTGTAGCCTTGTGCGGGTCTCCCGTTTTGTGTCCCGGCCTAGGACCATCTTTGCTTATTTTTCTTTTTGGCTCGAGTGTCATTTCCATTCGTCCCATTATCCAATTGACGCCATTGTCGCCTCTCTGGACGGACTCCAATTAATCAGCCCCCTCGTGTCGTCGTCTGTAGCCTTTCCAAGGCCGCGAGGACGAAAAACAATAGGGAATCTGGGAATGTACACACGGACCTCGTCCTGATATCGCGTGATTTGAAGGCACCTGGGACGATATATGAACAAATTGGCAAGCATCCGTAGGAGAGAGCACGCACTCCGAGGTTGGTAGTATTGGATGGGCTGGCCAGGGAGAGACGATGATCGTCTGTTCGTCTGTTGTTGTCCCGTGAGTCGTCAATCAGCGGACGTCTCGGAGGCGGCGGGAGGTCTGATGAGTTGTATTTGGGAGAGGAGGGCAAAAGCCGATGAGCAACAAAACAAATGGCCTGGGTGCGGCCTCGGCCACTCGGCCTGCCTCGGGTTATGATTTTCTGATTTTCTGATTTACGATTCTCCTGTCTGCTGCTCTTTCCCTTTCGTGGCGCCTCATGCTGTCCCCCATCGCGCCTTCCCGACACATGCCCTCCTAAGTCACTCACTCGCTCCTTCGCTCGCACGCTCCTTCGCTCGCACGCTCCTGCCCTCGAAGTGACTGATGCCACACACCTACACGGCAGGTGCGCCAACAACTACTATCTGCGGCTTGGACGCCCCCTCCTTTTGTTTCTTTATCCTTTCCTCTGCCCGGCCCATTCTCTATAAGAACCTCATTGTCTCCCCGGGCGAGCTGGTGATGATACGTCTTCGTTCTCTCCTCTCGTCTCACCACCATCCGCACGCGCATCTCTGCAGTCCTGCCTCAGAGTCGTACCACTTGGGTCTAACTGTGCCCAACCATCCACAACATCTTCTTCAATATAAAACTATCACCATCACATCATACTGATAGCACTCAAGCGCACTGCTCACTTCACGCTGCTCACTTCACGCTACTCCTTGCTCCTTGCACCACACACCACTCCACAATGGCCGTCATCCAGCTCCGCTCCAACGATGCGCTGAACATCAATCCGCCCGCCGGCGACGAGCACCTCTCGGTCCACGGGTCCGACTGGCTGTGGGCCGTCTTTGCCGTCTACCTGGCGTCGTTCCTCGCCGTCTTCGCCCTGTCTTTTGCGGCCCGCGCCGGTGAGCGCGTCTTCCACTACGTCTACAGCATCGGCCTGTTCGTCGGCGTCGTCACCTACTTCGCCATGGCCTCCGACCTGGGCTTCGTGGTCGTCCGGACGGTCAACCAGGAGAGCCGTGGCCTCTCCCGCCAGGTCTTCTTTGCCCACTACATCAACTGGGTCGTGGCCTTCCCCGCCGCCATCCTGTCGCTGGGCCTCGTGTCCGGCCTTCCCTGGGCCACCATTGTCTACCAGATCTTCCTCAGCTGGATCTGGGTCGTGGCCTACCTGGTCGGCGCCTTCACGACCTCCAACTACAAGTGGGGCTTCTATGCCTTTGGCACCTTTGCCTGGATCCTGCTCGCCGTCAGCCAGTGGCTGCTCGACGGCCGCCGCTCGGCCGTGCGCGTCGGCGTCGCCCGCGACTTCAACATGCTGTCGGGCTGGCTCAACCTGCTGTGGCTGCTCTACCCGCTTGCCTACGGCCTCAGCGACGGCGGCAACCGCATCGGCGTGACGCCGAGCTTCATCTGGTACGGCATCCTCGACGCGCTGCTGCTGCCCGTCCTGGCCTTTGCCACCCTCGTCCTGTCCCGCAACTGGGACTACAGCGGCCTCAACATTGCCTTTACCCAGTACGGCCGCGTACCCGTGGCCGGTGGCCACTTCCCGGAGAAGGAGCAGGCTGCCGCTGCTGCTCCCGCCACTGCCACTCCGGCCGGTGGTCCCGGTGTCGTTGCTCCGGAGCCCGCCGTGACTGCGTAAGAAGATGTACCGATGCATGTGTCTTGGCAAACCAATCTCATCGGGGTGTCTTGTCCCATGATGCGCCCTCAAGTGTACCCGATGCCGGACCCTGATTCTACACTGCACAAATTCAAAACGTCACGTCAGCCGGATGATGCCTGTGAGCTCCGTCAGTCCGCCACACTTGACAACCACTCTCTCCGATTTGCTTCGTCTTGATGATTTCGGATCTCGTCTCTTTTATTGTTAGCTTTTTTTTTGGATATACCCCAATTGTTGGTTTCACTCGTTCTGATGATCAGATATTTCGAGGCCCCAAGAAGTATGAAGCACACCGAGGGCCACCTCGTCCTGCTTCACTTCTGCCCTAACAACTCACAGCTTAAGCAGCTCGGCCTTGGCTTACACAACGTCGGTGCTAGTAATGTATAATGAGTGGCGGATGCACATGCAGATGACTATGTAATTTGAAATTTAGTTAAAAACATTCATTACCAGAAAGTGAAGCTCTCCCATGGCAAGCGGTCACGCCGTATAATTTGTCATAAGAGGACTCGGCGCTAGGTGCCAACGTCGTGTCTGTTGATGTGATCAATGCCAGGGCTGTAGAACGTACGGCGTTCCTTATATGGTCTCTGGCTTTCGTTGCGACGTTTTCGTAGCCTCGATACGCTTGTCGACTGGCTTGGAACTCTAATGCCGTTTTCTTCTCAGGATATGCCAGGTCGGACTCAACGCGGTACATCCTCAGCCTTCCTTGCAAGTGGCCACACCAGTACGAGTGCTTGTGCCTGCAGTAGCAGGAGTAGGTTGTTCGCGTGGCTTGAAAACCTCAAACCTCCCAGGGTCTGAAAACGTCGTGGAAAATACAACAAAGTAAACAAACACTCTGTGTTCTACAGCAACATTGAGAGGACCGTAAAATCGTCGTCCCAGGGCAGATACCCATACACCCCACCACCCATCTGGAGCCCGGTCGTCGAATGCACGGCCGAGGGATGCCGGTGGGCTTGGACCCCTGAAGCTGTGACCAGACGAAAGGCGAGACGCCCGGCTAATGATAGGCTGCACCTAGATCGTTTCCTTTTGTTTCATTTCGAACGTCCCATTCACTTGTGGAAACGCCACGGTTTCGATCGGGGCGCTTGGATAAAAGGTGACAGCTCAAGCTTGGGCTGTCACGGCACTTTCAAGCAGCTTTTCAGGATGTGCGTCTTCCCACATCAACAGCCAGAAAAGCGACACACCGGGCTGGGTCGTGTTGCAAAGTCCGGTAGGATCGACATCGTCGTGGTGACGGATACGTCGTCCGTTCTCTTCGGCTCCAGGAGCAAAAGATAAAGCTAAAGTTAGTAGAGACATTTCAACGCGGTCTCTGCTTGGATCTTTATTAATTGCGGTCTCTAACAGTCTCATCTCCTTTGAACGAAAATATGCGTCCGGCCCCAGCTTCTCTGTCTTTTTGTCCTCTCCTCCGGGTCATCAAACACACACGTGGATGATATCCAACACTGCCCTTTTTGTTTTTCTTCTCCGGCAACCGCTATTCGATACCACCCCAGCTCTACCAAACCAAAGAGGTGTCTCCGGCAATGTCACCTTACACCAACCTCACTTCCATACCGAGGATTATGTCCGTCAGACACATCATTTTTTTGTCATGTTTGGGGCCAGACCAGTCTTTCATCGTAGTTTGGCCTCCTTTTTGTTTTACATTTTCTTTTGATACCCCGGTTAAAAAAGAAATACCCTGGAAACAGACGAATACTGGGCTGGCAAAGGCCAAACAGACCTGCAAACCAGTTGACCTTTTTGGGGTACCACATGCATCTTCACAATCTGCCGAAATGCTTTGACGGGACACTTTTTTTTTCTCGAAAACTTAATTTATGTGCTGTGGGATAATACCTACAAAGATGGAGAGGAATAGAGCGCGAGGACCAGGGGCCTGGTTGTGGCCGTGTTCCTTTCTCCTCTCACTTTATCGGGCATTGGAGAGACAGCAAATAAATGAATTGCTCTATGTAACCCCGGGCGTGCGACGGAGAAAGCCCACAGAGTATAAGGCATAAGGGTGCGTCGGTGGCTTGAGGGGGGGGGGGGGGGGCGAAAAATGGGTGGCGGGACGCAATATTCATCAGCGAAGAAGGATAGAGTGTGTCACCACACCCATCACTTCACACACGGCAGGAAAACAGGCCAGGCCTCCCTCGAGCCTGGTCGAACGTCCACAGGATGTAGGGCCCCAAAATGCACTTTAGGCAGAGCTTGCCGTACGAGGTGTAAGACGAGAGTGATAAATAAAAGGGACAGAGACTGGAATATTTGTCAGCCGTGTGAAAGATTCGATGTCGCTTTGGGGCGTGTGATTTGGTGGACGGATTCGCAGTTTTTGTTGGGTTTTTTCTCGGGACCGGAAACATCGCCGAGAGGATCCAAGATCCAGAATCCAAAACTCCAAAACGCCACACCCGCTCACCCACCGGTTGTTTGCCCGTCCGCGTCCTGTCAAGCCCCTGTTGTGTGCCCAAAGGACGGGATACATTGCTCGACATAGAGTGCATTCCCGTTTTTTTGTGTTATGTCCTCGCGATGCGGTTGATGGAGAAAATCCATCCCGATCCGTGGCCAGAAAGAAGAGAAACCAGGGGCAGGGGACAGGGACACGGCAAAACTGGGTAAAAATAAATAAGCCGAGCAAGTAAGAAGGGCGTAGATGGAAAGGTGACGTGAGTTTGACGGGACATGAGAAAGTAAAATTGGCGTGCAGCAGATAACTTTATAAAGGTGCATTGGTTGTTGTTCTTCTTTTTTTTTAATGTAATATTTATTCCTACATAGTTATGTGCTCCAAAAAGTACATCGATATCGTGGAAAAAAAGAAAATAATAAATAGAAATCAAACAACAATGTAAATAACAGAAAATCAGGAAAATGAAAAACTAGCCTCTCCTCACCTCTCTCCACCGTCTCAAATTGACAAAACTGCAATGCAACCCATTACTATACCTTCATGTATAGCTTCATGCATATATCCGACCGGGCACTGGGACTTGGGATATTCTTATAGCAATTGGAAATAAGCACGCTCGCATGTAACAGGCAATGCGAGGTGTGTGAGTATATCAAACAGCCATTCTCGACGAGGTATTGCCGTCTACAGTCACATGACGAGGCAATCTCAACAAGACGTGTCCCGATGGAACTCGTATGGTTCTTATGGCTAACGATGGCAGGCCAGAAATGTATCTTTTCATGGGCACATAATTTTATTCTGCCGGCAACCGCGCTCGGCAGGTCGATTCCGAGAATATAGTCGCTGGATGCGGGACGCACGTCAACGTCAGGATGAAAGAAAGGGGAACTAGACGTCTCTGAGTCCCAAAAGACGGAGCCACGGGATTTCTGTCTCGAGAAGCACTGGGAAAGCAGCCAGGCTAAATAAAAAAAAAATAAAAAATAAAAATAAAATGAAATTACAAAACATCAAACAATCACACAGGTGAGGCGTATAATCACAATTCTGGTATGTGACGAGAACATGGATGCCCACGTGCTATTGGTCTCCTAGTCACGACGATGAGTACGAAGACGTGAACTGAGGGAGACACAGAAAGGAAGTGACGGTTGGAGATTGCCCAGAGCGTTCCAGAAGACGGCAAGGTTGCAGGTCTGCCACATGGGAGAAAGGTAAATAAGACTAAAAGGCGGACGGGAGAGGGATGTGAAGCGTGTCGAGCAGGCATGCGAGACGCGGGATGGACAGAAGGGGTGTGTATAATTTTGTATAATTTTGCGTCGAGATCCAACAAGAGCACGGCATATGGGCGACGGGCGCACTTGCAAGACGGGAAGAAGATGAGAAAATAGATTGCTAGCCATCCTTCGGGTTGAATCGTGGCGTGTTCGGTCCCAGAAAGTCTCAACCAAACGGGACAAGAGTTTGGAGGGTCGATGTGCGGGTAGATGTGAGAGTTGCGCATATGATTACGGGGAGAGCATGGAAAGGATTCGAAGCACACGAGCGGAAGAGAATCAGCAGTGTATAGAGCAACGGGAATAAAACCAGCGTCTGTGAAGGTGAAGCGACGTTGATGAACGAAAGCTTGGTGAGTTGGTGGCCACGTCCTTTCATAAGGCTCTCATGAATTCGCATTTTTTCATCGCTCTGAGTATATTGATATATTGCAACAACTCTAACAGGCACCTTATGATGCAGTTACTGTCTTTGACTTCCTTGTCGCCCAACATGTCTTGTTTTGGTGACGGCCTCGGTGGTGTTAGAGCCATGATTCGAAATGCCGACTGCCCACCGTGCACAACGCATTGAAGTGCATAAACACGTAAAAGCGTGCCGATACCGACCAAGACCGACATGATGCATAGGCTGTGTACCAGGACGTAGTGATGGGACCGTCGTGCGCCCTAGAACCAGGACATGTTATACGAAGGAAGGGCCTCAGGCCGTCCTCAGACCGTTCTCACGCCACCAGGTTCCAGAAAATGAGACAACTGACTGATTTTTGTATTGAGAGCCACCATCTCTGGAACGGATACCGCCCTGTCAGTCTGCAGCTGGTGGCTTGTTGCAAAGGGCTGGAATCGAGAACCGGCTACGCGGAGTTGACATCCGTCGAGAGTCTCACACTTTTCGTCGGATGTGATATTTTGTCGTGTTGGATCTGGGTGGGGACTTCTAGTACTCCTCTCTTCTCTGTACGACATACGAGTAAGCTTGTTCTGCAAAGGTAACATGGGGGCCAAAAGGTGGCAGATCAACGACTTTTTTACTTCAGGGGAGCCACAAGAGCCGCGCGACTTCCAACAAGTGTACCGCTGAGTCGTGATAGGGGAAGTAAATCAAGACAGGCCACGAAGCAAGGCAGCGCACGTCGTACGAGCCAAGAGAAGCGGCCGTTTCTTAACTTTTTTCTTTTCTTTTTTTCCGCTCGGAAAATGGAAACGAACCAGGCCTACGTGGAGGCATTCAGAGGGGTAAGTGGAAGAAGACAACGAAA